GTTGTTTAGCGGGTCCGGGCTGGGGATTCGAACCCGCCACCTTAGGTGTACGTGGCTGGCGCCTTAGCCGGTTGAGCTATAGGCGCCGAGCCAAGGGCTCCCTTTCTTTGGGACTTTGCACATGTCCCTCAACTTCTGACAGCCTTGACCTGTTCCTCTAAGATGCAGGTGATGGAAATACTGCTTCATGGGGGTGCAGGCATTTGCCCAGCGCATGTTCACTGAGTAGCCCCAGTTCCAGGCACCTGGGCTGTAGCACTAAATCAGCAAGCAGGGCCCTGCCTTACAGTGCCTGGTGCAAGGACAGAAGGCAGTATGCAAGATGCCCCCAGTTAGTGCTAAGGACTGCTCTGCGGTTGAGCAGGTACTGAGATAGTTGGCAGGGAAGGCTCTGAGGGCACCATGGAGAGGGTCCTCTTGCTCAGAGCTCTGCTGCCGTTCCTCTTCCTCAGAACTCTAGGGAGTCCACCGAGCCTCTTCCCTTCTTCAGATGAGCCCTGAGCTGCAGGCCAGGGTGGGATCTCAGGGGACCATCCTCTCCAGTCCCCCAACCCTCTGCAGTTCTCTCAAACCTTACTTCCTAGGCACTGCTTTAGAAGACTCTTAGTAAATCTTTGTGAGGTGCTTTTTGTGCCAGGTATTGAAGATGTAGTGGGAGTAAGATAGCTGAGGTTTTGACCTCGGGGCATCTACCTTCTAGTGGGGCTCCATGAGCAATGAGCAAGAAAATGAATTTCAAAGATGGTTTCTTAGAGTTCTAAGTTTATGGAGAAAATGACATCAAGTGATGAGGGACAGTCTTGAACACAGCAGAGCAGCTGCTGTGGAAAGACCACACTCACAAGGTAGGCAGCAGAGTGCTTGTCACCAGCAAGAGGGTGTCAGCATGTGAAGATTTGGAGCTGAAAAGTCCCAGCGGTGGACCAAGGCTGGCAACTGCAATGAGTGCCGGGGATGAGAAATCCTTAAAAATGTTTGTGGAATTCAAGACCCAACCTAACCCAAGTACTGCAGCAGGGTCCATGGCAGGGGCATCTTGGCACCTGTGCCCCTTGCCTGGGGAAGTTATCTTTTTTTTTTTTTGAGATAGAATCTTAACTATGTCACCCTCAGTAGAGTGCTGTAACGTCACAGCTCACAGCAACCTCCAACTCTTGGGCTTAAGCGATTTTCTTGCCTCAGCCTCCCAAGTAGCTGAAACTACAGGCGCCTGCCACAATGCCCAGCTATTTTTGGTTGCAGTTGTCATTGATGTTTAGCTGGCCCGGGTCAGGTTCGAACTGGCCAGCCTCGGTATATGTGGCTGGCACCCTACTCACTGAGCTATGGGCGCCGCCCTGGGGAAGATGTCTTAGTTGGGTTTCAGGCTCAGCTATGTCCTTCTTGCCAGTTTACAAAAAACCGGGAAGTGGGCTGGGCTGTGACCCTCACTCCTGACTGGTCGCTCAGGACTCATTGGGCATGTTATGCAAATGAGTTGAGAAGCCTTTTCCTCTCACTAAGCAAGAACCTAAGGGAGGGGGCACCATGATGACAGGAAGCTGAGTTATGATGCACAGGAAGTCATTTCCCACAGTGGGCAGCCAGCGCTAAGCATCTGTCCCCAAAGCTAAGAGGTTTAAACTAAGGAGGCTTGACCTGGGGGCACCCATAGCTCAATGGTTAGGGCACTGGCCACATGCACTGAGACTGGTGGGTTTGAACCTGGCCCCGGCCTACTGAACAACAACAACAAAAATGCCCAGGTGTTGTGGCGGGCACCTATAGTCCCAGCTACTAGGGAGGCTGAGGCAAGAGAATCATTTAAGCCCAAGAGTGAATTATGAGGCCATGGCACTCTACAGAGGGCGATAAAATGAGACTCTGTCTCAATTGGGGAAAAAAAAAAGAGGCCTAACCTGAGGGGGTGGAGGTGGAAGGTAACCACACTACTGGATTTCTTTTTTTTTAGACAGTCTCAAGCTGTTGCCCTGGGTAGAGTGCTGTAGTGTTATAGCTCACAACCTGAAATTCTTCAAATTCTTGGGCTTAAGCGATTCTCTCTTTTTTTTTTTTTTTTGAGACAGAGCCTCAAGCTGTCACCCTGTGTACAGTGTGAGTGCTGTAGCATCACAGCTCACAGCAACCTCCAACTCTTGGGCTCAAGTGATTCTCCTGCCTCCACCTCCCAAGTAGGTGGGACTTCACGTGCCTACCACAACGCCCAGCTATTTCTTGGTTGCAGCTGTCATTGTTGTTTGGCAGGCTTGGGCTGGATTCAAACCCCACAGCTCAGGTATGTGTGGCTGGTGCCTTAGCTGCTTGCACCACAGGTGCCAAGCCTAAGCAATTCTCTTGTCGGAGCCTCCCAAGTAGCTGAGACTACAGGCGCCAACCACAATGCCCAGCTTTTTTCTGTTGCAGTTGTCATTGTTGCTTAGCTAGCTTAGGCTGGGTTCAGACCTGCCAGCCTGGGTGTATGTGGCTGATGCCGTAACCATTGTGCTATGGGCACCAAGCCAAGTATTTCTTTTTTTATTAGTCACAATGACCACATTTCAAAAAATTCTCTAACCTCTTAATAAACTACACATCATCTGTAAAATGGTATGCTGCATGCCATTAATCTACATCACTGGAATGCCATGATTGTGGGTTTATTGGCATGGAAAAATGTTCACAATGCATCATTAACTGAAAAAAGCTGGCTTCCAAAGCAGCAAGGAGAATATCTTATTTTCATTAAATATTTATGTGTATTCAGATATTAAAAATTATGGAGGCCAAGTACAGTGTCTCATGCCAGTAATCCCAGCACTTCAGAAGGCTGAGACAGGAAGATTGCTTGAGACCAGGAGTTCAAGACAAACCTGGACAACATAGCAAGACCCCAACTCTACAAAATACTTAAAAATTAGCCAGATGTGGTTTCACGTGCCTGTAGTCCTAGCTATGCAGAAGACTGAGCTAAGAGGATCACATAAGCCCAGGAATTGGAGGTTGCAGTGAGCTGTGATGATGCCACTGCCCTCTAGCCCAGGCAGTACTCAGTCAGCCTCCCAGAGTGCTAGGATAATAGGTGTGAGCCATCACATCTGGCTTGTTTTTTACTTTTAAGAAAGGAAGACATGGGTGGCACCTGTGGCTCAATGGGTTGGGCACCGGCCCCATATACTGAGGGTTGTGGGTTCGAACCTGGCCCTGGCCAAACTGCAACACAACAAAAAAATAAAAAATAAATAAAGTTACAGCTATTTAAAAAAGAAAAGAAAAGGAAGGAAAATATGACCAGTGTGAGCTAGAGCGAGACCCCATCTCTAAAAAATAGGTGGGCATGGGCGGTGCCTGTGGCTCAAAGGAGTCGGGCGCTGGCCCCATATACCAGAGGTGGCGGGTTCAAACCCAGCTCCAGCCAAAAAAGAACTAAAGAAAAAAAAATAGCTGCGCATTGTGGCAAGTGCCTGTAGTCCCAGCTACTTGGGAGGCTGAGGCAAGAGGATTGCTCGAGCCCAAGAGTTTGAGGTTGCTATGAGCTAAAGACACTGGGGCAGTCTACTAAGGGTGATCACATGGGACTTTGTCTCAAAAAAAAGAAAGACTGGGTGCCCATGGCTCAGCGGTTAGAGTGCCAGCCACGTGCTCCGTGGCTGGTGGGTTTGAACCAGCCCGGGCCTGCTAAAACAAACAAAAATAATAGCTGGGCATTGTGGTGGGTGCCCTACTTAGTGAGGCTGAAGTCAAGAGAATACCTTGAACCCAAGAGTTTGAGGTTGCTGGTTGCTGTGAGCTATGACATGACAGCACTCTACTGAGGGCGACAAAGTAAGACCCTGTCTTAATATTAAAAAAAAAAAAAAAGAAAGGAAAACTTATGAGCCATTGAACTGGCTGAACCAAGAGGAAAAGAGATTTGAGCCTACTTCTGGAAGGCTAGGCTATAGCAAGCAGAAGCCTGCAGACCTTTTTAGAACCTTGAGAGAGAGGCCTAGAGACCAGAAAGAACTTTTTTTTTTTTAAGACAGTCTCACTCTGTCACTCTGGTTAGCATGCTGTGGCATCATACCTCACAGAAACCTCAAACTCTTGGGCTTGAGCAATCCTCTTACTCCTGAGTGGTTGGGACTACAGGCACCTGTCACAATGCTTGGCTAGTTTTTCTATTTTTGGAGAGACAGGGTGTCACTTGCTCAAGCTGGACTTGAACTCCTTAGCTCAAGCAATCCACCTACATTGCCTTTCAAAGTGCTAGGATTACAGGACGGCACCTGTGGCTCAGTGCTAAGGGCACCGGCCCCATATACCAATGACAGTGGGTTCAAACCCGGCCCCAGCCAAACTGCAACAAAAAAATAGCCGGGCGTTGTGGCAGGCGCCTTTAGTCCCAGTTACTTGGGAGGCTGAGGCAAGAGAATCACCTAAGCCCAAGAGCTGGAGGTTGCTGTGAGCTGTGATGCCACGACACTCTAACAAGGGTGACAAAGTGAGACTCTTCAAAAAAAAAGTGCTAGGATTACAGGCATGAGCCACTGTGCCCAGCCAGAATGGACTTTCTCACAGGTCCTTCCCTGGGACCCACTGGACAGAGGAACTGGGAGGGGAACTGGGAGGAAGCCCCGGGCTGGAACAGCAAGACTCATCCTCACTTTTCCCCAGGAGGCCTCTGCAACCTGTGCCCAGACAGAGCCAACCAGGAGCACATCCTGCAGGCCGGAGGCATCCCGCTGATCACCAACTGCCTGTCGAGTCTCAACGAGGAAACGGTATTATCCGCTGTCACCACTCTCATATACCTGAGCTCACCAGGCCCAGGCTCCCACCCCGAGCTGACCACCTTGCCTGTGATCCAGTGCATGCTGCGCTTCTCTCTCTCAGCCAACATGAGGCTCCGGAACCTGGCTCAGATCTTCCTGGAGGACCTCTGTTCCCCAAGCCAGGTGGCCGAAGCCCGCAGCAGGCAGGCAGACTCTGCCCTGGGTATCCCTCTGCCCAGAACTGCAGCCCCAGAGCAGTCCTGACCCAATATGACCCCAAGGCTAAAGAACTCAGTTTTGGAAGGGTATGCAGGAAGCAGGTGGAACACAGCTCCCCAGAGTGCATTATATCCAAGTGGTGCCTTTTCAGCCATTTTAAAGGTGAGTTTTTTCACCACAATAGGTTTTACATGGTGATGAAAAGGCATTAGCGGGGCCAAGTGTGGTGCCTTAATGCCTATAATCCTAGCACTCTGGGAGGCCAAGACAGGTGGATTGCCTGAGCTCATGAGTTGGAGACCAGCCTGAGCAAGACCACAACCCCATCTCTAAAAATAGCTGGCCATTGTGGCCAGCTCCTGTAGTCCCAGCTATTTGGGAGGCTGAGGCAAGAGAATTTTTGCTTGAGCAGAGAGTTTGAGGTTGCTGTGAACTGTGATGCCACAGTATTCTACCTGGGGGCAACAAAGTGACACTATCTAAAAAAGTAAAAGAAAAGGCATTAGGAGCAAGGAAGTCAGACACTGAGACACGTAAGGAAGAAAATCAAAGCTGGTAAGATCTTCACAGACTGGCACTCTCAGTCACGTGGGGGTGAGGGTCCTGCCTCTGGGTCCACCCCACTGCCAGGCTCACGCCCTCAGATAAGAAGCAGTTGGGTCTCTTGAAGGTTTGCACACAGGCGTTCTCAGGAGCAGCAGCTGGGACTGAGGCTTAAGAGAGTTGCCTGCACCTGAAGAAACAAGGGATTACCACTTCACAGAAACGGCTCTGAGGGACAGAAATGAGAAGTAATTCTGAGGGACAGAAATGAGAAGTCTCCTGGTTAAAGAGTCTTCGGCTTAGGAAGTGTCATGTCCCTCCCCTCCCCTCCTCCTCCAACTCTCCAAGAAGAGCAACAGGGTCCTAGCGGGTGCTAACAGATAGGAAGGCAATAGATGGTTAATCCTACCTATTAGGAACCAGGTAAGGGATTCAGAGATGAAGATGTGGTCTTTGCCCTTGAGTGATGATTGTTAGTGTGGCCACGGGCATCAAGAACAAGGCCATATGGGCTCGGTGCCTGTGGCTCAAGCGGCTAAGGCGCCAGCCACATACACCTAAGGTGGCGGGTTCGAAT